TGAATTGACTAATTATGGTTAATATTCGCTCGAAAGAGGGTATTAGCTAAAACTGAAAAATCGGGTCTGACTACTTATTTTGATGATTAGCATTTGCACGTGAATGAATTGACATTAATGAAGTATAGGTTAAGCAAAACATAAATTCCAACATCTTTTCAAAACCAAAACCTTTTTACTTTTTTATCTGCCTTTTTATTAGTTTTTTTTAGTCTAACTGTAGTCTTTAGAATTTTACAAGCATTTTTAAATCTGTGTGTGTGTCGTCGTTAAAATTAAGATTGATAAACGTTGAATTGAATTCCACACTCTCTGAGGGATTGACTTGGACTCTTTAGGTCCACTTTTACTACTTGTTCTCGACTCGTGCGCTTGCGGCATAGAATCGAAACCCGAACAAAGAGCCGTGACCCGTCCGATCCACAATAATGATAAGCTGAACTCATTTGTAAGATGAACACATCGCTTACAACATTCGGGAGTTATGCTCATTACTTAATCAATAGAAAAAAGAAAATGACACAACTATCGTTAAACAGTATAACTGCCATTATGTCTTCATCGAGCCTAAGACAATTACATAATCCCTCTTTCCAAATATTATATATGGTTTGATTTTCAAAATGACAAAAGTAGTACATCGTAACATAACACCACCATTATTTTTCAATATTACAAAGGGAGTACATCCTAACACTACAAACGCTACATATGTGATGTCTTGTCTTCATTGTTCATGTCTCTCACTGAGTGGTACATGATTTGTACAAAATAACGACTATACTGTCGTTCTGCACTACGTAAAATGGTTGGAGTGTCATTCTGTACTGTAAACCGCCCAATAGTTACACACACTAAAGAAATACACCAATTGTGGAAAAAAATCAATTAAAATATCATTTCATACTATATTCAACAATAAAAAGACCAATGTACATGAGATTACCAAAAATACCTTTCTTTTTTCTTCAAATATTTAGATATTTCAATGTAGATAATGTAGAAACCAAAATTCTTATTCAAATACTCAAAATGTAGGAAAAGATAGGTGAGTAATATAATAGAGACGGAGAGCTCGTTAATTGAATTGGAGATGAATTGGAAAATTTAATTTGATTGAAATGGTATTTGGGTCTTTTCATGATGTGATATTTTAGACCTTTTACACCTTTTTTATTGTATTTTTTAATGGAGACCATTTTACCAATAAACATTGAGAAAATGTTCTTTATTCAAATACATTGTTTGACTATGCCTTTTAACAAAGAATCCCTTCAGACATTTTACACCCTTTATTTATTGTATTTTTTAATGGAGGCCATTTTACCAATAAATATTGAGAAAATGCTCTTTATTCAAATACATTGTTTGACTATGTCTTTTGACAAAGAATCATTTTCATTCTCATTCTACAATAATAAGAATCAAACGGGTGTATTAGGGGTCGTTTTCTTTGGCCGTTTTAAATCGTTTTCTGTTTTCTGTTTTTCAAAACAGTGAAAACGCGTTCTCTTTTCTATTTTCGAAAACGTGTTTTTGAAAACGAAAAAAAATTTGTACACAAAATACAAAACGAAAAAAACATCATTTTGGGCATTTTCAAGCCAAACCCACGAAAAAATTGAAAACACGGAAACAACCACTTTCACTTTTCAACCCTCTTCCGCCAAAACAATGGAGTAGCCACTTTCAACCTTGTGAACTCCGGCCATCCTCCTCCTCTACCACCAGAATTGCATACCATTGTGAAGCCTTCAATCCCTTCTTCAATAATCACACAAACCACTACCCAAACATATACCAAAATCAATCAAAAATCATCCTCAACAATTGAACTTGCGAAAACTGCTTCAGCCGAAATCTCTACCTCCGGCGACACCCAAGGTCGGGCACCACCACCAGTCGATTGCCCACCCCCAGATGTCTCCAGCCATAGCTCCAATTTATCCAAAATGTCAATCCAACGAAAACGCAAAATGGCGATCCAACCACTGCCAAAATCACCACAGCCACCGCCTGCACCAACCACCGGTCGATTGCCCACCCCCAGACGTCTCCAGCCATAGCTCCAATTTATCCAAAATGTCGACCCAACCACAGGCAAAATGGCGACCCAACCGCAGGTAAAATGGTGACCCAACCACTGCCAAAATTGCCTGCACCAACAACCGCCCCATCAAAGAATGAAAAAAAAAAGATGAAGAAGGATATCGCAGGGAGAGCAGAGAGAGAACGAGGATAAAGAGAGAGAGAGAGAGGACGACCGAAAAAGAAATGGAAATGAAGAGAGAGAGAACGCGTTTTCGTTTTTTATTTTCGAAAACCGTTTTTGAAAATGTCAAAAAGAACACATTTTCCAAAATCTCAAAATAGACACACAAACACAAAATGAATTCAAAACTCAAAACACAAAACTGAAATACAAAGAGAACGTCCCCTTAGCCATTGAAGAGCACCATTTTTAGTCAATATTTTCTGTGGGTCCTACTATACTGGCAGTACGGTAGAAACTCCCGAATAGTTGGCTTTTACCAACTCCGGCTAGTCTTCTCTTCTCCTAATTAGATCAACAACTTTCCAACCATTCCGCCACCGGCTTCGACTTTAAATGGGCATCTCGTGGAGTAAAAGGCATCGCCTCCACCAGCCCCACCAGAACCAAGTTAATCACCGCCAACAACCCGTCACTCCATCCTCATCTTATGGCCCTTCTCTTCTGGTCGCCCCTCTCGAACCAACTCCACCTCCTCCACCGCCGCCGTCTACATCAGTACCCCATACTTTCCGACCACAAACACCAGGCCAACCCCCTGAACCACCAAGCTATTCATTCGCAGCCAACGCCCCTTATCATGCACCCTCTTCACCACCACAACACTTCCCCACTGTGCAGATCCCTCCCCGTCCTCCACCGCCTCCTCCTCCTTATATTCCTAATTACAGCTATAATAACAACTACTCTAATTACTATTCTAGGCCGGTGAATATCATGGGTCAATACTCCAACTACCGTCCGTATTTGACCCCCCCAATGAGGTGGGGCCCAATCCCTCCGCCGCCGCCACTACCTCCAGTGCCTTACGTTGATCACCAGAGTGCCAAGAAGATCAAGAATGATGTGAATATTCACAAGGACACCATCATGCTTCAAGCAGACGTGCTGAACCAAGATTACCAATTGGTAACCTTCACGTTCGACGCCTTGGTTGATGGAAGGTATTTAACTCTTGCTTACTTGTGCCCATACTTGATATTATTCCCTTTATTTTATTTTTATTAATTTATGTATACACCGTGGATATTATATGTTTTATGTGGATTCTGATTTCTCTGAGGTTGATGATAAAACGGTTTTGTCGTTTGCATTTGACTTTCATCGATAAGGATCTGTACTGTGTTTCCGATCTGTAAAAGGAATATTTTAAAGGTTTTAAGGACGTAATTGATGTTAAAAACCTGTAAGAAACCAGTGATTGCTTGATTAGAATTGATTCCAAAGATGGTAGTCTGTGCATTTAATTAGGACTTGGATCAAATTTCCTTTTCAACAGTGTGTACAATTTGTCTGTTTAGGGCACTCCTTTAACATCTTAATCCTTTAACATCTTTTGCACCATCTCCCTTCCAATGAATAGTTTAGCCTAGTTTCATATTTTATGGCGTCTAATCTCAGCTATGCCTCAATGATTTTTTGTATGTTTATGAAACTCGCACTCCATTCACTTGTTCTTACATTGGCTAACTTTGAATCTATTGTTTCAAGATGTTCTCTCAACAACTCCAACTAAGAAATGAGTCCCATTCCAGCTTCATCCACCAGGATGACATGATGTAGCCGTACAGCAATACGGAAATCGCTACTCTCCATTACTTTAGTGGTCATAAATCCTAGCACAGATCTTTGTTAACATCAATAGACCTGTTTTAACTCCTTTCGTTTCTAAGTTCTACTATAATGCATTTTCACACCCCCTATCACACATCTTCTCTAAATTAAGTAAAATCGTATGAAGGTTTTTCTCCTCCATCTGTTGGCGCCATCAGTTTCTTAGCAAATACATAGCATGATGCTCATTTTTCACATCAATGTATCTAAATTAATTTTCTTAAACCATCATTTTAAGATTAATTCATGTCTCAATCACTCTCTCCCAAGGTTTTTTTGAAATTAGTTCTTCTGTTTTTCCTCATTCTTATTTCCTCCCTTGACCCTCCACCAATTGAAGAAAGACATTGTCCCTTCCGACATTAAGAAACAGGCCGTCAAATACAAAGCATGACCTATTTATACATAATTAACAACAATGCGTTTTCATTCTCTTTTATTGTTGAGGGTGACTGGACCTCGTCAAAGTCATTCAGATACTTTCAACCATCCCTGTGCTAATGATACCGTGTTCTTCATTGGATTAACGCCATTTGCATGGACTTATTTACATTCATCAACACTCAGCAATTTGATATATCATATATGTAAACAGTAACATTAAACAATTCTAGAAGAGAGGGAGGTGGGAGAGGGAGTGCCAAATTCTTCATACCATGCAATAAATTAAAATTAGAGTTTGTACTCAGTAGACTTTTCTTGTCTATTGAACATCAACAAAATTGATTGGGGGTTGTAACTGTGGAAGTATAAGATGGGTTTGTAGGATCGCAGTGGGATAGTGCTTTACTTAGTGGGTGTTGAGATTGCTGTCTGCAGTGATGTTGGTGCAAGACTGCAGTGATCCCTTTTTAGTGTTGACATGTGGTGCATGTATCTTGGTTTTTCATTGCTTAAGGTAGCATTTTGTGTTTGTAGATGTTTTGTAAATTTCAAGTTCCCTTTTTCGTGTTTGCATATTCAATGATACTATATGCTGAACCCTTGGCTTGTATGACAAGAAAATTGTTTGCTTCAGTGCCTACCACGTGCTTTCTTGCAGTCTGTAGTATAGCCCTACGTTGTCTAATGCTTGGTGGGGACTTTGTTCATATTTTGCAAAGATAACATTCTATACCTAATATATAAAACTTGTATTTCAGTATCACTATCTTCTATTTCGGCAAGGAGGGGGTCAACTGTACATTCACTCCAGTGTATCCTGAGATTGCGCCTGTAAAAATTCCATTTCAAAAAGGAGTGAGCCAGAAATTCTGCCAGCCTTCTGGAACTGGTGTCGATCTAGGCTTCTTCGACATTGATGACTTGTCAAAGCCTTCCCCAGGAGAGGACATTTACCCACTTGTTATATCAGCCGAGTCGCATGTGCCAACCACCCCTATGGATGAACAGCCATATGAGGAAGTGGTGAATACATCTCCCAATGCACAAATCACTCAGGCTGTCTTAGAAAAGAAAGACGAAGGAAATTTTCAAGTAAAAATTATCAAGCAAATTTTGTGGACTGATGGTGTTCGTTATGAACTGCGTGAGATTTATGGCATCAGCAGTCCAGATGAAACAGCAATCAGTGACGTGGACTCGGGAAAAGAATGTGTCATTTGCATGACTGAGGAAAAGAATACGGCTGTTTTGCCCTGTAGACATATGGTAAGAGCCAGAACTTTGACTATCTATATGTTCAGAACATAATATATGATAGCAAGCATACCAATATGTTCAAAACATGATACATGTTAACAAGTGTACCAATGTGATTACCAAATGTAAACAAGTTTATCTATGTTCGGAGAATCAGTCTTTTTGTTATTCAAGGCTAATAGTGTTATCAAATTAATATTCCTTATTCCCTTGACCCTCGACTCTTAATTGATGATCTAGACGGTATGAAGATCAGAGTGTTGGCATTCTGAGTTATATTTTATTTTGATTCTACCCGTTGTTTTTGGGCATGCATCAGAACTCTGTACAGAGAGTTCAAACATGTTCAACTTTGTCGTCATGAAATTTAAGGGAAAAATGCTAAGAAGTTTTCCAAAAGAAGTCCTCTACTTGAGAAGCTCATACAGTATTTGACAAACCTCGTATGTCAACTTAGGTTGACTCAAAGTTTGACTTTAAACCGTTATTTAGAAGTCAACAAATGTCTTGGTCCCTTCTATATCGGAATGGTCTTGGTCATTCTTTAGAAGTTAGGATGAAGAGCTGATATATTCTGCATTTGATTCGTTCTTCCGATTAGTAAAGAACAAAAGAACAGGCAACTTAGTTGTTAAAAACTAATATACAGGTCTGAATCTGCAGCAGTTCCATGTACAGTTACATTCTATGGATCAAGTTTCAAATAGGAATTAACATGAAAAAGATATATCCTTCGATCTTCCCTTTTCTTGTTTGGATTCAGAACCTTTCCTCGTATTCCTTCTACTCTTCTTCAACAACATCGCATTGTCCTTTAGAGCAGTTGCACGAGAAGCTTGTATGTGATATTTATGTTTGTTGGTTTCCAGTGTATGTGTAGCGATTGTGCCAAGGAGTTGAGGCTTCAATCGAACAAGTGTCCTATATGTCGCCAGCCCATTCAGGAGCTTCTAGAGATCAAACTTGATGAAGGTAACAACAAAGAACAATTTTATTAACAATCTCTTGTATATTTTATCTTTCTCTGTTACTATATTCACCTGCTTCAAATAAGAGATCCATTGAAAAGTTTTGACCCTCTCTGCCCTTTTTTCTCTTCACCTTCAGAAGCTGAGACCTAGCAAGAGAAGTATACGTGCAACAAAATTGAGCTGCAGCTTTCATATGAATGCTCATCATCCACAATTTGAAGTTTGGTATAATCATAAATGCTTATAACATATTGTGTATAGCAAATTATACTGTAGATGGTAGATCCGTTTGTAAAATTTCTTAATTTGTTATCCAGAATTTGTGTTTTTATATAACTTTGTTTTCGAGCATTTTGTCGCTCTTTCCAAAAGCCACTCTGTTTACATGTTTATATATCTTTTCGTTGTGTATACAATACGTGTATTAGCGCAGCCTCTGTGACTGTGAAAGATGGGTTATATTTTGTCGAGGAAGTGAAGTTGATACTTGAATGCTCAAACTTTATACTTTACATACCGCATTTTTGTGAAAATTATTTTATGCACATTCTCCGTAAACTTTTGAAACTTGTGAATTGAATTGTGTAAATTGTTAAATTTTCCATTGAAATGCATTGTTTGGCTTGAGTTGGTACTGTACATGTGACAGGGTATGTTAGGTTCAGGAAGTAAAGTTGAGAGTAGAGTGCACATTTTGCTTTTATCTGGAGAGACCAAAAAATCTGGGTATGTCGAAAGAAATGAAAATATGGTCAATATATCTTGGAAGGAGTTAAAGTGGAAGCAATCCCAAGGAGTTTTTCCCACAGAATGTTGCTATGGTTTCCTCTAAAGAATGGAAAAAAAGCAAAAGTACTGGGATCTGATCTTTTTCCCCCTTGCTTTAATTTGAATCTTGACTAGGGCTGAACAAACAAAATCGCAAAATCGGATCGAAATTGTTGTTTTGATAGCGTCGTTAATGTTTTCATTTTCAATCGTACCAAACTGTTTAAAAATTATTTGATTTACATAATTTTTTTTAATTAACCAAACCCGTTGACATAATAATAATAATAATAATAATAATAATAATAACAACAACAAATCATGGGTATTTTGTGGTATCAGATTTTTTCATGTTACTTTCTTTCATTTTCTTGATAAGAAAAGATGATAGGAATGAGATGGGACCGCACGATATTAGCACTTGTTTGCTAGAATTCTTTTTCGGGTTAATTTCACAAATGGTCACTCAAGTTACGTCAAAATTTCAAAACGGTCACTGAAATTTAAAACTTGCACTAAAGGTCACTAAAGTATCATCCAGTTTCACAAACGGTCACTGAACTTACTATTAGAACTTTTTCATTTTAATTGAAACTTAATTGACCAAAATACATGGACATAGAAGCTTAAGGATCTCAAAAAGTAAAATTCCATTCCTATCCCAAAACGGTCGGAAATACACATTCCGACGAACCCACGTTGAACCCAACATACTGGTCCATTCTCCTCTTCCAGGTGACCCTATCCATAGCCTCCAATCAACAAGTAATCGGCTCCATCAAAATCAAAAAGCTGCCCACCACGCTCGCCCACGTGAATCTGATTTTCTTCTATCAATTGGAGGCTCAAATGTGTTTCAAGATACAAATCAACTTTGGGGAATTGAAATTGAGGCTCAAAAAACATTGGGTACTCAATCAATTACAGAAATTACAGCCTCGTTTGTCAAATTTTGGGGTTGAATATTGTTCTTCATACACCGAGAGCTGCTGATCCCATTTTCACCCGTTTTGGCTTTAACCCATGGTTGAAGGAGGTGTATCAGAGGTAGAGAAGCACAGCCCATGTGGTCCTCGACCATGGGTTGAATGGACGGATGTGGAATCTTCAATGTTCGGACCATGGAAACAGGGCATCGTGACTTATGGTAATTCTGCAACAAATTCAGACCGCTGAGATTTGTTTGGGGTAGATTGAGACCATGGTTGGGGTCACCTGTGTGTGGGAACTCGACTGGTGGTTGCCCGCGATCAAGTTTCTGGCCGGAAAATGAGATTCCGGCAG